GTTCTTAGTTACGTGCTCAAAAAGTCTCTTTACAAGTAGGACTTAGTCCCGCAATGCCACTTTTAGAAATACCCTAACAATAGCGCGACGTAACAACATAGCAGTTCTCGACTTTTCGCGAATGGACCCTATTTGAGTTTTAGAATTGCCTTCTTTCAAGCTTTTCTGGGTGTTAGTAAAACAACAACAGAGAAGGCCTCGAAGAAGCGTTATGCATGATATTGTTGAAAATGGCTTCCAAATGTGTGCGTACTGGGGTTTTCGTTTCGATAGCTATGTCACGTTCTGTTTCCTTCTTTATGCCTTGATCGGCTTCAATGAGCTATTTTTAGGCCCCGAAAAAATTCAGGGACGTTCTACAGTCATTGCCTGAGGAGTATTTTTTAAAGTGTCAGATCTTGCAAAAGTGTTTTTTTTTTTAATTGTTCCAACACAGGTAGCCCGAGCTCGCAAAACGAGCGTCCGTATATTGAGGTTATTCAACAGTCGAAATATAAGGATTTGTATGAAATTAAACTTCTGCTACTCGTGTAATGTCTACAATGTGGAGTTATGAGTAGGCAAAACGACTTTCCTACGAGGCATTGCTATGAAATTTACGCCATATAACGAAAGTGAGGAGGACACGACTGACGTTTCAGTCTAGAGGTTTAAGAATCACTTTATACCTCGACAACATTGCGTGCAACGGGAGAGAGCTAAGGGAGCTTACCTACAGGCTACATGCAACGGCGTAGCATAACTTTCAACGATTTCCCGCCGGGGGGATAACCTGAATCTTTCTACTTAAAGCAAGAGTTACGCTTTTTCGTCTGTGGCAGATGATCAGGTAGCCTTTGCCCTTATTTAGGAACATGTCTCATCATTATCACAGACAGTGGTCTTAAGCCGTCTTTATTTAGCCCTCAGCTCACACGTTTTTTCTTAAATTAACTCGCTTATTAATACGAGCAACTCGACTCTTTAATAAGAATGACACTTTGTGAAAACGATCCATGAAAAAAAAATAGGGATAACCGAACGTCCAAGATCGTTAAATCCAGGCAAGGCTATACCAATGGCCATCTGCCCTATCATTGTTCATTTTATTACCTAGCGCGCGCTCTCATGCATGACATGGCGAGTGAATTTGCGTGCGCAGAAACAATTAGCGCAAACTTCTTTAAGTAATACCTTCCTCGAATGTCTTTGGCAAGCTTTGGAAATCTTCTTTCGTTCGGAACTGTTCGCTAGCCATTCTCAAAATGCAAATAGTTGCTCGTAGAGAAAACATAATGCTCAAAATATGAAAAGTTGTCAAAAAGTTGCCGAGCAGCTTGTGGACAACCTTAATTGAAATTGTTGCGCGGATATTGCCTAGTTCCCGGGTCTCGATATTTCCCCGCGGTCAATCGGTTTCGGATTCACGTGGTCTGAACGAATAATTGACCGTTCGGCTCGGTTACGTCACTGAAATGAATTGACCGTGATGGTCTGGCAGGAAGTCGTAATGTAACTAGGCAAGCACCCATAGTTGTTCCTCTAATAATACACATGAAAAAATTACTCGATTCTGATTGGCTAAGAGCAGTGCAGTTCAAGTGTAACACC